TAATTCAATTTTACTTATGGTAACACTAAAATTACCTAAGCATACCCATACTGGTCAACTCTGGGGTAAGAAGAATAAGGAGGAGAATTAGAAACATGACAAAAGGAGGGGAAAAATAAATTTGAGATGAAGCCTTGGTTATGGGTAATACAGTCATGGTTTCTTATATTAATAGTTATACCAAACAAAAAAATCAAATCTGTTGCTTTTGAGTCAATTCCAACTGATAAGAGTAGTATAAGTTAAGAAAATGTAGAAAGTCAGGGTTGTAGAATAAAATGTAATGCCTGTTGTTGTTGTTAGTTGCTGTCGAGTCGATTCTGACTCATGACGACCCCACGTGTGCAGAGCAGAACCGCTCTATAGGGTTTTTAAGGCTGTGACCTTTCGGAAGCAGATTGCCGGGCTTGTCTTCTGAGGCATCTCTGGGTGGGTACAAACTGACAACCTCTCGGCTGGTAGTAGAGCACTTAACAACTTGTGCACCCACGGATTCTTTAATGCGTGTTACCGACTGCCAAATTATGAACAGTTAAATCATTTTGTGTTTACTTGTAAATTTAAAAAAAAAAAAAAAATTTTTTTAAAATTTTCAGGACATATTATAAAGCTTTATAAGTCTGTGTGTGTGTGTGTGTGGGGAGAATAAACAAAATACTGTTGATAACTAATATTCCTAATTTAAAAACAAATAAAATGGCTTATTCATTTTTCTAAATCTTCGTGACACGAGAAATATTAGGTGTTAAATACATAACACAATGTAGGAATATTTTCTTTCTATATGACATACTATCTCTGTATTATAACCAAAAAAAAAAAAAAAAAAAAAAAATTCAAACTCATTGCCATCGAGTTGATTCTGACTCATAGCGACCCTACAGGACAGAGTAGAACTGCCTCATAGGGTTTCCAAGGAGCGCCTGAAGTGCCTGGCGCAATCTGTATTATACTTAACTAAAAAAACAAATTGTCTCCATCTTCTGATATTTTGGGAATAAAGCTAAGGAACTTAATTTTTTTGCATTGATCTATAAAGTCTTCAAATAAATAATTATTAAGATAACAAAGCACAAAATTTGGGGGTGTGGTGATAAAAAAACAAACCTTAATTTCTTTCTTCTTTTTCCTTTTAATTTAAATGTTCCATAAAATAACAGAGTACAGATCAACATCCCCCAAAGTGTGTTTTATGGTATGCTAAAGCCATTAGATACTCTAAATAAAAGGTTTCGTGGTCAAATACTTTTGAGAAAAATTGTATTATATCCTGCCCAGAAAATTCACTATATATACCACCAAAACAAACTCACTGCCATCGAGTTGACTCCGACTCATAGCAACACCACAGGACAGAGCAGAACTGCCCCATAGGGTTTCCAAGGAGCAGCTGGTAGACTCGAACTGCCGACCATTTGGTTAGCAGCCGAGCTCTTAACCACTTTGCCACCAGAGCTCCTCACAATATACACTATCACACTAACGATTTTGAGAAGTCCTATGGCAAAGACAAACAAAACTTGTTTAACTATTTAATAAACCTAGTATTTCTCAATTTATTTCATCACTGAATTTTTCTTCCCCTTTAATAACTTATTGTGATCTAATGGAATTAGTCTTCTTGAGATGTACTTAAGGAAACACTGCAAAATAGCCTCTTTTACTCCATTTCAAAGCTGGCATCTATCCTGCTTTCTCTAAAATATGCATTTTAAATAACTAGATGAAAAGAGAAACATCTGTGGGTCAGATAAAAAGTTAAAGCCTAACAATAAAAGAATTCCAATACTACATTTTGGAACTTATGCTTAATGAAATGCTGAAAGTTCTTTTATTGTTCAAGTATTACATATTTAACAATGAGTCTCTAGAGCAGACTAATAAGCATTTTTTAGACTTCAATGTTACAGTAAAGGATTTTTAGTTAAACAGCTAAAAACTTTTTACAGTGAAAAGTATACTAAGCAAAATATAGTATACTTTTGATGTTATGCTCTAAGATAAATACTTAAATTCTTTTTAATGCTTTTACCTCAAATATATTGCCTAAGACACTCTATTTTATAAAAGCCATGAAAATGCTGTAAATCTTGGGAGGCATGGTATTGTTCTACCTTAGGGCTCAGAAACTTTTAAGAGATCTATGGACAACATTCAATATGGAAATGCAGTTAAAAATTCTGTGTTAGTATCTCAATTCTTTATACCACCCTATTCCCTGAGTGCTTGTAACTGATATACCACAGTAATCATATTCTACATATTAAGGCTCTAGGCGGCATATATGAAATAAATGGACTATAATAACATTTCTATGCTGGGTGACTTTTTAAAAGTCATGCTTCATAAAACAAAGATACTGTTCACTAGGGAACTATGAAGGAGATTCTAGTAAGTACTTAAAATAGACTCTGATCAGAACTAATTAGTAAACATTTCTCGAAATAAATAAACAAATATAATGGTTTATTTTCATTATTTTTCTAAATCTTTATATACAGAATTATATAGATTTTTATTTTATGTTTTAGCCAAAGCCCTCTCTTTAGTAGCACAATTGACTCTTTGGTTTACTCCTGTACCTTACAGTAACTAGAAAGAAATATTAACATATAAAACCAGCACTTTTTTTGTTTCTTCAATATAATCTGATTATACTGTTAAACAGGAAGAAAATATGATGCCATTGTTGTGATAGGATCTCACACACCTATGAATTACAGCTATAGGTTGTAGCACTTTTTATATATATACATGTTTTAAATCTTAAAACAATCATTTGTCCTCAGTTATTTTCTTTGAAACATCTGGGTGATATATAAGGTTCCTTCTACAGCAAAAATTCTACTATTCTCTGAGCTTGGCCTTAAGAGTACAGATATGAATATGAGTACAGTTTAGGGTGAGATTCCCCACAATGTTTACAACTTGAATATATCAAATTTATAACAAATATAAGTTATATGGGACTTAAAAAAAAAAAAACTGATTCTGATAGTGTCAATTGACAGTCCAATAGCTCAACAGCTTAAAAAGTTTCTCCAGAAAAGAAAAACTCTAGAATATTATTCAAAGAGAAGCAAATGATATTATAAAATTATGTAAAACTATTTCCATAAACTTTTAGGGTACCAGAGCGAGTAAGAGGTCTTGGTCTCAAAGCAAGACCACTGCAGTACAACTCCAGGGGCACTCTCTACAATGTGTTTGATAGAGATGGTACCCTCTGGAATCGTGCACTGTGACAAGGTTACATCAGGGAAATCAGACTCTCTGTCTCTATCACTTATTAACTGTGACTACTACTTATTTCCCTGTGAACTAGGGAAATTATTTAACCTCTCTATGAATCACAATGGTCTAATCCCATCGTGCATGGGGTCGCCATGAGTCAGGGGCCAACTTGATGGCAGCTACAACAACAACATACCTTAAATTTCTCATTTATAAAATGAAGCTAACACTAAGGATACATATCATAACCTCTTAATGGAGTATTTCTTAAAGCTACATGGTAATTATGATGAGAATTTTTTTTTTTGGTTTTGCTATACATTTAACCACTATCTCAAAATTATCATTCACTCATTATTTCAACAAATGTTTATTGAGTACCTTCTACATTCCAGGCAGTGTTCTAGGCATGTAAGTATCCTTACATGGATGTGAACAACAGATCTAAAACCGTGGCTCTCATGTAGCTTCGGTTTTAACTCTGGAGAGAAACATATAACAAAGTGCATAATATACAGCAAGTAGAAACAAGTGCTATGAAGATAAATAAAGCAGATAAACGGACTGGAGAATGTCAGTGTATGTGTGGGGTGCCTATTTTAGATAGGTTAGTCAGAACAGGTTGCTGTGAAAAGGTAACATTTAAGCAGAGACCCAAATGAAGTCAGGGCAAGAGCCTTGTGAAAATATCTGTGAAATGTGTTTTGGGGCAGGGAACTAGCAAGTGCTAAGGCCCTGAGGCAGAGCCATGCTGGCATGTTCCGAGAAAGCAAGGAGGCTAGTGTGGCTGAAGGAGGGTTGCACAAGGAAGATTACAACAGGAGATGAGATCAGAGGTGGCATGGTGATGTGGGACAGATCATGGAGGGCCTTGCAGGCTACAGCAGGATTTTGGATTATTTTCTGGCTGAGATGGAAAGTAAACAGAGGCTTCTGATCTGAAGAGTGATATGATATGATTTGCATTTTTAAAACACCACACTGGCTGCTGTGTAGAGAATGTACCTGGGATGTGTAGGAACATACTACAGACTCAGTAAACATGGCAGGTATTATAGACTGCGGCACACTGCTTGTAATTTAGGTAACTTTTCCAAATTTATTCCAGGATTTATTCTAAGACATTTGAAGATGTCTTTCCTTTCAGCCCAAGTTAAATTTACAAAGAAACAAGCTTTAGAAAGTAAAAGGCACTGTTAAAATGAAAGGTTAATTACTAGTTATCAAAACTGTTCCACTTGGTTTTTGATCCAGGTGAATCAACAACTATGTACAAGTTGGTTTGCTGGGTCTCTTGGTCTCAGATGGCAGAAATGTGTTTTATCAAAATTAAAACTAAAAATGGATACTAACTGCATCAAGGTATTATATTTAAAAAAAAAAAGATAATGGAAAAATTTAGGGACAGATAAAGGTGACGGTTGAACAACATAATGAACATGAACATAAGTTAATGTCACTGAATTGTACACGTGAAGAATACTGAAATGGCAAATGCTTTGTTACATATATACTTACCACAATACAAAAAAATTTAAAAAGAAAAGAAAAGCCAGAAAATTGATACAGGAAATAAATTTTAAGAAGGGTACAAGCTTATGGCACTGATTGAAACATAGCTCATGAAATTCAGAACAAATATTTTAAAATCTCAGTGTAAAATTTCTATGCCTGTTGAACTACAAATAATATTTTCTGAAAAGATCTCTTAAATATTCATCATATTTGCCAATAGTGGAACAGTGCATGAATATAAATGAGCTCACCTATAAATGGGATGGAAGCCAAGGAATCGCCAGGTGGACTGGTACTTGAGGCCTTCCTTTCCTCCATTCTTTTTATATGGACCTCGCGGCGTGCATCATTGGGTAACCAGCATGTAGTGTCTGACCCAGTCTCTTGGTCATTGACCGCCAAGATGTATGACTGATGCCTTAAAGGCTGTGGTGTTTGGCGACCAGATGGAGGTTTTTCCCTTAGAACAACAGTTTCTTTATTATCTAAAATACTTGATTGCTGATTTTCAGCTTCCTGTACACTTAAATCTTGATTTCTTTGACTGACAGACAATTCAAAATCTGAAGTACCAGAGTTCTCACTCATCTGAGGGACAAGCTTAGCAGAAGCTCCAGATAAACAGGGGGATTTTGCAGTCTCCACTTGGTAATCTGGGGCACTTTCAGTTCTTAACCATGTCTGCTGATTTATTAGACTGTTTTGATGCAAGTGATTTACTGGTCTTTGGTCTTTGATAGAAGCAATTGCGTTCTGGTTAAGTGATGGTTTTGCAACATATGTAGAAGGCGCTTTCAGAGAATTGCTTCGAACTTTCACAAGAGGTGACCTGTCTTGTGAAATACCTCGAAGTGGTGACATTTCACAAGTAGTTTGAAAATTTCTGTTTGACTGCAGTGTTTTTAGATCTGGTGGAATTTTTTTAAACTGAGACACCAATCCCATTCCTCTGCCACTTATTCGCCTACTATCAGAATTAACAAAACTGGGAGCCACAGAAAAATTTGAACCTCGAAAAGATTTATGAATTTCTTGCTGCCTAGGTCTTTCACAAATACCCCGTCTATCATCTTGTTCAGTAAATCCACTCCATTTATAAGTCTGTTTTCGTTCTCCATTTGAATCAGGGATTTGACTCTCAGAATTGACATTTTCTATGGTTTCATCCTGTCCCCCAATGTAATCCCATGAACGAGTTCTATGATTACTAAAACCAACAGGTGGAGATATCAGTGCTCCTTGAGATGCGCTCCTTGGACAATACTTCATTAGCACAGGGTCCTCCAGTCTTTCCTGGGACACACTGCGCTGCCGTATCTGAACAGACTGGGGCCCTCGATCATGAGAGGTGCTTCTACGTCGTACCTGCAAAGTAGTGCGATTCGGTATCACCTGGTTATATTCTGTTGTGCTCTGGGATGCTGCTCTTAAGCTATCTAATCTTTCTTGAATTGTCCAACAACCTATGTGCAATCGTCTGTTATCAATATACTCTTTGTAAGTTTTATAGTTTTTCCAGTCTATGTGCTGATGGGAATTTGGAGAATAGTGATTAACAGGTACAGAGGGAGAATCTGCAACTTGAGATCTATTGCTTGAGAGTCCTTCTGAATGTACAGTATAATTTACAGATTTAAGTAAAATTCCAGAAGTTTCCAATGACCTGGAGCCTGATGTCTGATGAATCAGATGGGCAGTGGGAATTGATGATGGTGATGTAGTTCTTGACACTGGTTTTAAAGAGGTCTGTTCATTTATGCCATACCTCACTTCTTCAGTTCTATGTGAAGGACCTGTATGGTTGTGTCTATTAGATAACAAATCTACAACCTTCTCAGAAGGTACAATGACAGTCCTTACACTTTCATTGCAAACACACACTGCTGTGTTTGACTTTGCAACATCTGTTGGTGATGGAGGCACTTGTATTTCCATTCTATAGGCCCTGCCAGGTTGCATCAGTACTGGTGTACTGGTTTGCTGTTTGCTCAATGAAGAGTCTGGAGGAGATATTTCAACTGGCTGTGCCATAGCTGAAGGAACAGATGTCAGCCAGGGATAGCAAATTGGTGGAGGTTCAGGAATATTGTGGGCATTGCCACTGTAGGCTACATTGCCTTTCAGGTAGGCATCTTGAGAATATGCCTGTATGAGAATGAGAAAAAAGTATCATTTAAGATTCATTACAAGAAAAATAATTACCATTCCTGTAGTTCACTATTTTACTTTACTATGCCCTACTTTGTTCCTGAATGATATTCACTATAGCATGCATGCAAGTACAACATAACAGTACTCCACAAATTTAGAAAAGAGCTAGTCTCACAGAAAGAAAATTGTAAAATCTACAACAAATATACCTTATGACATCTGTTTTCTCAAAATATCTGAAACTAAATTTTTTCCTAATCAATTAGATATAACCATGTTGTGTCTAAAATTCTCCCCATTCGAGCTTTATGATACAGTAAGGATTTTTCAGCAGTTGACAGGTTAAATGGCTGCCTAATAAATCCCAGCAAAAAAAATGATTCTTATCTTTTGTCAGAGAGAAGGTGAAAATATTAAAAATCTTAACCAAACACATTTTTATTTTAAGCACTACTACTATCATAAATTAAATATAATTTATTGAACAGTGTCTTGTCAATTAACCACTATTGAGTGCCTAAAAATAATCCACTTTGATGAATTAAGTACTTCAACAGGCATGCTAAATATTTTGTATTTAAAATAAGAGACTATACATGTTTAAGAAATTAAGCATATATATGAAAGGCATAAAAATATAAAAAACAGGAAATTAAACTTTCTGTACATAATTTATTTTTTTTATATTAAGCTAATATAAATTATATTACTTTATTTGGTCATTATAGGGAGATATTTCTCTATTACTAAAAGGCAGGCATGCAGGCATCAGCTATTTGTGAAATTATCTAGCAATACTTTTAAAAATTTAAGAATAACTGAAATTAAATACAGAGACTCTATAAAACAGAGCTAATCAATGCAACATAGGACTATATTCAGCATGAGACAGTTAGGTGTGGTATCATATTACATACCCTCCCTGAATCAAAACAAGCTTTAATTCAAGACTATCATCACGTCCTGTCTTTGCATTAGACAGCTTGCAAAGCTCAAGTGCAGCCACAAACATAATAGCAAAGTACTAGTAAAGGGAGAGGGTAAGATACTTGAAAAAATACTGATGCCGATAAGTATTATGCTTTAACAGTGAAGTACAACATACAAAAGAAAACCAAACATAAAGAGGAAAAAATAAAACCATACATCACAAACACATTCTGCAAATTAGTAAGATTAACACTATGAAGGGATTTCTTCAAGTAAACTTACAGTTTTAATAAATTGGCTTATTACAAATCTCTATAAAACATGACTTAAAAAGCAAGGAAATGGCTACTGTGCATTTCTTACCAGTGCTGTGACATCCTTTGTAAACTGTAGCTAACAGAAAATAGGAAAACATAATAGAAGCTGCTTACTGATATAAAGACAGAATCATGTTGTCATATTGATGCTGGAAACGGAAAGCTAAAAATATATCTATACTGATTTCTCTGGAAGGTACCAAGAGAGGTAAAGGGCAGTGAAGCATAAAGAATAACTTCAGTATCCTTCTGAGCATCTTTTTCTCAGGCTTTTATCTGGTTCTTATTTGATTTGTCTACCATTCTTGAAAGCAAAATACATCTGGTGACATGCATTCCTAACAAGTATTTTCTTTAGTATGCAGTGCTGTCTGATAATGTGCTACGAAGCTTCCCTTCCACAAGAGCAACATTGATGTCTCTCATTTCCCCTGAGCTTCTTCCATCTCTGCTTCCAGATGACGAAACGAATGCTCTATTATGCATTTAAAATAGTACAACCTCCTCCTTCCCCTGTAAATCAGAGCATAACCACAAGCTGTCAGCTGACTGCAGCTGCCTTTACACTTATGATTTGGGAAAAAAGAAAGACTGTTTTATTAAATAGGTTTCAATAAAAAATTAGGAACCCTTCAACACTGTATCTTTTGTACTGTTTTATTAGCTTATGAAAGTAACTTCTGTATAGATATAAAAAAGATTACTTCCACGGTAATTCTTAATTTAAAATAAATATTATAGAATACATAGACTAGCACATATAGACAAGAATTCAATGAGAAATAAAAGCTAAGTACATAAAAGAATACAGGCATGCCATAATATTTTTAAGGCATGAATGCAGTCAATTACTATATGCATTTTTGGGTATGTGGATTAACATAACAAGCCTATCTTTTTAATGTTGATTATAGCCAGACCAATAGTCATTCATGACATGAAAACTGTGTCTGGATGAGTGAACCAAATGGTACAGTATTTGCACAGCATGTTTTCTGCAATTTTATTATGTATCACTTAAAAAAAATGGTGTGGGGGGCAGAGGGATTCCTATGGTTAATGATGTAAGGAAAGGTCAGTTGGCAGGTTTCTTGATTTCTCAAAACCTCTGCTGTGTTAATGTACATTGTGAAACTCGAAGGGAAGTACAACCTTATTCAGCCATGAAACTCATTTTCTTCCCCAGGGGTTTCAAACACGGTTAGAATTTCACGGTTTGGGAAATGATGTTTCCAATATAATAATTTCATATATATATATATATAAAACCAAACCAAACCCATTGCCGTTGAGTTGATTCTGACTCATAGCAGCCCTAAAGGACAGAGTAGAACTGCCCAATAGGGTTTCCAAGGAGCGCCTGGTGGATTCCAACTGCCGACCTTTTGGTTAGCAGCCGTAGCTCTTAACCACTACCCAAGCAGGGTTTCCACATATATATATATATAATTTAAAGATACCTCCTTTATTATAATTTGGGGAGGGGTATTATCTTTTAGTAATAGAAGTATATGGCTGGAACTATTAAATACTTGAAAAACATTTTTTACATACATAAGACATCTCTAAGATTGTTATATAGCAATCCTAAATACTAAATTGTCTATATTAATGAATCCCAACTTCTGGGTAAAGTTATGGCCAAAACAAAAAACAAACAAACAAACAAAAAAAACACCCGTTGCTGTCGAGTCGATTCCAACTCATAGTGACCCTAAAGGACAGAGAACTGCCCCATAGGGTTTTCAAGGAGCGCCTGGTGGATTCAAACTGCCGACCTTTTGGTTAGCAGCCATAGCTCTTAACCATTATGCCACCAGGGTTAAGGCAAGGAGTCCTTAAATACATACACATGCACCACACATTAACAATGGACTGACAAAATAGAATATATCACACAGAGTTGAGATAAATATGAATTCATTCAAGAGCATTATTGAATTCCCTCACATATTCTCTCAGTTCACAAACACTAAAAAAGCTTATCTATCTTTCTGCCTATCTATCTGTCCATCTATCTATCCCCTCACCACCCTCCTATCTACCTACCCACCTAAAGGCTCTTCATTCTCATAAAAAGTTTGGCTGCCAATACCATTCCAAATTAACATCTATGGAAATGAGCAGTTCCTCTAAGGCCCCTGAGGCTTAGTATACATTCAACTGAAAGGTCATGGACATATGTAGGAATAATTCTGGAACTTGTATGGCTATTCTAAGGACTATGGTACAGACACATATTAGCTCCCAGAGAAGTTTTGGGAAGTAAATTAGGACTAGACAATATGTATTTGAAAGAATCCTCTAGTCCCATGCTAACCTTAAGTGTCCCACTAGAAAACAAATTGCCTAGTAAGGAAAGCTTTTGATTCTTTCAGAAGGAAAGAATTCATAGGAGCTTGGGTAAACACTGGGGTGGGTCATCTGGAATGGATCATCGTATGTAACTTCTTGAGGTGAACAGTGAACCCACGAATGTGGCTTTATATTCTGGGAAAAGAATTGCAAACTGTGTAACTTGCTCACAGTTGTGCTGACATTTTTTCTCTTAGGGGCTTGGTCAAAAAGTACCAAATCTTTCATGGAGCCAGCATGGTCTGACATATCAATGTTTTAACTACTCATGGGGATCTTTGAATTGTCAGTGGGAACCAATTAAATAGCACAATATATTTAACAAAGTAATTTGGATTCTTAAAACAAAAAATGATGTCAAAACCATCCTGTGTTAATAAGTTTGTCTGAAATGTTTACCATGGACTTTTTTAAACCAATGTCATATGAGTTGCATATTCAGCTATTACTAATTGTGATATTTTGGTTTGTTTTAAGCCCAGAAAGATACTTCACAATATATGAAGGTGTTTTAATGGCACTGAACATCACTCAAATTTTTCCCAATTGAGTAGCTCCTGAATCTCCCCAAACAGAATATGGTAAAAAAGAATTTAGCCAATTTTTTTTTTTTATTTAGTCCTTTTATATACCATTCTACAGTCTTTCTTAAATTTCCTTTACCCTTGTACTTAAGTTTTAAATCTTATAGTAGCTTAGTTATTTAAAAGCTTATATTTTAAAATTAAAGTCATATCTAATGAAAACAGAACAGTAGCAACCCTACAGTGTCTATAGATCCAAAAAGTTCTCATAAAAAATAAAAAGGAAGAAAGGAAGGAAAGAAAGATGCGCCACTGAATTCTTCATTTAAAATTAGAATGTAAAGAGCATATGAAATAAAATTTGAAACAATCTGGGATCCTGATTTTATACGCAGTCCCTAACATAAATAATCCTAAAATAATCTTTCAGTTCAGTTTTTTAGTAGAGTCACAGCAAAATCACTAGTACCATGTCCTATGATACTTAAAACTCTCTCTTAAATAGTTAAAAAAACAAAACAAAAATCTGCAGAATAAATAAGCTGCTGAGGTTAAAATTCCTCCCTATCATTTTACCTTTATCAGGCCGACTTGTTAATGTAATGTGAACGCTTATGAGAAAAGCAAAAGTAACAACTTGTCTGTCAGTATAGTAAAATATATGCCAGCCATGCTAACAGTGGAGTATGGGAGATGAGGGATGGACAGGGAATTTATTTTATTTTATATATCCTTCTATATTTTTTGAAATTTTTTCAACAACCATGTACTTTCTTATAGTAACTCAAAATAGATTTTTAAAAAGGACAGAGTTACTGCAACTAACTTGCAAAATAAGAAAGAAGCCTCCAAAATGTCCACCCTTCCC